TTCAGGGACCAGAAGAGCAAGAAGGATGAAAATAACGTGAGATGGGCTTTGGATTCCTCCTCCCCAGCACCAAACACCTGGGGCACAAGGAGCTGTCACCCCAGCTGGCAGCAGGCTAAAAGCAGCCCCAGACTGGGATCGTGCTCCAGCACACCCAAGTCTTTCTCCAGTGCACAGCAGCCCGAGCTCCTGCCCTTTGCCCACCAGCCAGGGCTCCCCCAGACCCACTCCCAGGGGGACAGAGTGAGCTGAGCCAGGGCCATGGGGGGCAGGATGGCAAAGGCAATGACAAAGTGGCAAAGTGAGCAATCCCGGCCGGTTTCCTTATCGCCCGCCCAAGCCTTGTTGTGTAAAAAGGGAATTAAGTAAACACTGGGCAAAAGTTTCACTTTCGCTTGCGGTGTGTTGCAGATCCAGCTCCAGCTCCATCCAGGACAGGCACTGCCACCCCACAGCCTCGGGCACAGACACCTCATCCAGGCTCAGCTGCAGCAGGAAGCTGCAGAGATGTGGAACAGACCCCATGTGCAAGCACATCCCTGAGTCTGGAACACCAGCAGCAGCACCAGGAACGACCCCAGCACCCCAGGGCACACTCAGAGCTGCACAGCAGCCCCGGAGCAGGACGTGCCCCAGGAAACACCCCAGAGCTGCAGCAAAATCCCTGCTGGCATTTCCCACGGTGGCAGCACAGGACAGTGCAGGCACACAGGGGTCAGCCCAGGGGGCAGCTCATTAAAATCACACCCTGCAGGACAGACAGAAGGGACACCACACCTCTCTGACAGCAAACCTCAGCTGGGAGCAGGGGCAACCCCCAGCTGTCCCCACAGCCAGCATGGCACACGCTGCTGGGGGGCACAGCTGGCATGGGACCTGTGGGACAGTGCCACAGCATGTGCCCCAGGAAGCCAGCAGGGCCAGAGGAGTCCCCAGGCATTGCAGGATGCAGGTCCAGCCCAGCATCACCCCCTTGCTGCAGCTCTGCAGTGACCTGGCCAGAAAAACAGCAAAAGGAAAAGGGACCCAAAGCAGCAAAAGGGACCCAAAGCAGCAAAAGGAAAAGGGACCCAAAGCAGCAACAGGAAAAGGGACCCAAAGCAGCAAAAGGAAAAGGGACCCAAAGCAGCAAAAGGGACCCAAAACACCAAACCAGCCCAGCTGTGCCTCTCCCATGGGAGCCCAGGGCATGGCACAGCCCCACCAGGACCCAGCCCATGTGCCCTCGTGGGGAGGGGGCTCACAGAGCCAGCCCAGCCCCAGCACACAAATTGCAGCTTGTGCCGTGGGAGCATGGCAGCAGCCGGGGCGTGGACGGGTTTGGTGGCTTCAAATTAGTGCCTGGAGTTGGAAGAAGGAAAACAAACCAGCAGAAACGTGGCAGGGCACCAGGCTGCACCCAGTGCCTGAAGGGGACAACAGCCCCATCGCCACCGGGACACGGCGCCTGGCAGCACAGGGAGGAGGAGGAGGAGGAGAGGAGGAGAGGAGGAGGAGGAGAGGAGGAGGAGGGTGCCAGGCTCAGCCTGGGGGAGGCGATGGCTGGCAGCCCCTGCTCCCCCACATCCTCCATCCCTAGGTGTGCTGTTTGTTTCCCAAAGCAAGCTGTGGGCATCTCCACTTCACCATCTGTGTGCCCGGGCTCCAGCTCCCCCTCCGTGCCAGCACAGGGGCTGGAGGTGATGCCAGCACAGGGATGAGCCACTGGCTGCCTGCCTGGCCCCCACACAGCCACAGGGACATGCAAAGGGATCAAATCCTTCAGCATCCCTGGTCCTGATGGTCAGCACAGCTCCTGTGCTGGAGAACGAGTTTCACGGCATCCAGGCTTCGAGTTCATTATTTATGTCACACTTGAAGTCTCTGCATCTGCAAAACTTTCTGAATAATTTATGGATGGTGGATCAGGGAGGAAGAGGGACACGTTTTGCTGAAAACCAGGTCACTGAATACCAGCCAAGCAGCAAAGGGAGACAATGGAAACAGGCACAGAAACTCACTGGGGGAAAAAGATCCAACAGCATTTATGTACACACAGACACACACACTCCAGAGATGCCCTTGGCAGCTGAGGATATTTAGCAAGACCAGCCCTTCAGCAAATGAGGATCATTTTCAACCTTGTGAATTTATTCTTTCTTCTCAGGGAAGGAGAAAGTGCTGTGAATCATTCCTATTTCTCTCTGTACCTACACTGAGGGCAAAGGCAGGGCAGAGCAGCCCTTTCACAAACGCTGGCAGAGACTTTGTTCCGTGTCCTTACTCCTGTCTCACCATCCCTGCATGCCCGTGCTGTTGCTCCTGCCCAGCTCTGCAGAGGGCTCTTCCTCCCTCCTCATCTTCCTCCCCTCCACCCAGCCCCAGCAGCCCCTCACCAACACCAGTTACACGTTCTCCCCACGCCTGCCTTCGTACAAAGAGGATGTGAAACGTTCAGCAGAAAAAGGCAAGAGGAAGGAAAAGGAGAGAGGATATTGCAAAGACCTCACATAACTCTGGCTGCAGGCAGTCACACTGCCCAAGGGCCCAGACACCCCCAGGACCCCCCAGGCCACAGGCAGCACGTCCTGAGCCAGGGGTCTGCTGCCCCCAGGCCTGCCCAGCTCCACGGCCTCGTGAGGAGCAGCACGGAGACAACAGCAGTGAGATAAGGCCACCATGCCCAGCCATAGGGAGACAAACCAAAACCACCTGGAAACACCACTAAAAAATAAAAGCTGGCTAAGAAAAGCAAGCCCCTGGTCACAGTCAGGAAGGGCCCCAGGTCTGCACTGGCTCACAGGGGTGACATCCCAGCCCCTGCAGCAGTGGCACAGATACAACAACCAGCAACAGGCAGCACAGCAGCTCCCCACCCCTGGAACATCTCCATCCCTGCTGCTGGGCACTGGAATGGTCTGTAAGGGCTCACACAACAGACCTGGGACCTGGCACACACTGAGGGTGACACCCGTGGGCAGAGCTGGCCCAGATCCCAGCCAGCACCAGCCCAGATCCCACCCAGCAGCAGGGATCAGCCGGAGGCATCACAGCCCCACAGCCCCTGCAGTCACTCCTACAGCAGGAGAAGGATGCACAGAGGGCTGAGCTCCCCAGCCAGGGAGGGGACACCCCTTCCCAACCTCCCGGGCAGTGCCCTGCCCCAGATGGCCCAAACCCTCCCCCAGAGTGTCCTGGGGCCACCTCGGTGCCACACGTGCCGGGGAGGTGGCAGCAGGGCAGGCAGGCACTGATTTACCCTGCAGCAGAATCAGCATTATTCCTGTCCCCGCAGCCTGGGCACCACTGGAACTCCCCCCAGCCCTGTGCAGGAATTAAGGGCTAATCCAGGAACACATTCAATAGGAGCTACAAAACAATTCAGCCATAAAAACATCCTTATCTCCAGAGGCCAGCGAGCGTTCTTCCTGCCCGTGCTGGGGTGTGCAGCACGGCCACGGCCAGGGCACAGGAGCCCACTGACAGCCACAGGGGATCCCAGCACACCCCAAAATACTGCACACAGCCTGCCCAGGGCGGGAGCACAGCCATCACCTCAGCCAGCAGCTGCCACAAGCTAACTGACTAAGCCCAGAGACACCTCGGGACTCGGCAGCTCACTCCCAAAATGCATTTTCTGTGAAGGACAGTGCTGTAGGATTTGTTCTGGGATAAAATGAATGCTACAGGCAGGGCCAGGCAGTGCTGCCTTCAGCAAACGCTCCACAGCAGAACACAGCTCAGACCTGCAGAACCACAAATGCACCCACAGCTGTCGGGTTTGAGATTCTTTTAACCCCAAATGCCAAGAATTGGTACAATGGGAGTGAGTCCCTGTAAGCCAGATGTTACCAGCTGCCACTTCAGCACAGAGGCGCTACACCGCTGGGGCTCGGTGTGAGATCAGAAGGGCAGGGAGCAGCAATCAGCCCTTCTGGGAATGGACAGGCTGCTGGGAATGCTTCACCTGCCCGTGCACCCTGGGGTGACCTCGCTGTCCCACAGCCCCACAGCGACCCTGGCCAGGTGATGCTGCAGGGGCTCCATGGCACCTGTGCTTGTGACGTGCCCCTGTCACCCCGTGGCACAGACTGGTGACCACGCGTGCTGCCATCCCCCTGGATGGGGAAGCGCTTTGATTTGGGCTAAAGAAACTTAAAAACAGAGAAAACCCCAACGACCCCAGGAGGGAACAGCAGAAACAGAGGCACAGCTTGGGGAGCAGCCCAGCCAGCACAGCACCCGAGGGCACAGCCACCCAGCGCTGGCACGGGGAGCCATGCAGAGGTGTCCCCAGCCCCGGCCGCGGGGACAGCAGCAGCCCAGCCCGGGCACCAGGGGTGACAGGGACGCTGCCAGCCACAGGTGAGGGTGTCCCCAGCCCCGGAGCCACCGCCTGCATCGCCGCCTCCCCCTCCCACCCAGACCGCTCCTCCCGGGTCTGCAGCCTGGCAGCCACCTCCGCTTCCCCACGGCGACAGGGGACACACCGGAGGGGCCAGCCCGGGCACAGCCACGGGGGGCTCCGGGCACCCCCACCCTGAGCGGACACGGGACAGAGGAGAACGGGGGGCGAGGGGAGCCAGGCGCCAACCCACCGCCCCAAAAACCGCTCCCGAAGGATGCGCGCCCCGAGGGACCTGCCGGGCCAGAACCAGAACCAGAACCAGAACCAGAACCAGAACCAGAACCACAGGCGTGCCAATGGAGCACGGGCACGCACACCCGATGGACCGGCCCGGAACCCCGCGCCCCGACGGACCCACCCGGACGGAGCAGGGCCAGGCCCGGGCGTGTGCCGACGGCCAGAACCAGGAGCACGCGTGTCCCCCTGGACCCTGCCAGGCTCATCCCGGAGCGCCGCACGTCCTGCGGGACCGGGAGCGGGAGCGGGGCCCGGCCACCCCGTCCCCCGCAGCGGGGGCTCGGGTGGTCCCGGCTGGAGGAGCCCCGGGCGGGCAGGGCCGGGGCCGGGCGGGGGTCGCGGGGTCCCGCAGGGCCGCCCCCAGCCCCGCACTTACTCTTGAGGGCGGCGACGAGCGATTTCCCGTCCTTGATGAGCTCCTTGATGAACTTGTTGGTCTTGTCCAGCTCGGCCTCGTGGGAGCGCAGCCGCTCCCGGAACTGCGGACTGTCCAGGCAGCACTCGCTGAACTCCAGCGCCGGCAGCCCCATGCTGCCGGGCACGGCGGGGGAAAGCACGCAAAAATCCGGGGGAAACGCAGAAGGGAAGGGCTCTCGCGGCGAGGCGCGCAGCCGCCGGTGCGGGCGGGCGGCGGGAGCGCGGTGCCGGGCCAGGCCGAGCCGAGCCGGGAGCGGGGCCGGGCGG